GATCTAAATTCTAATTACTAATCTACCATCACTATTGTTACTAGCCGTTGCTGCGCAAATAGCAGTTTCTGCCCGTACGACAATTGCAAATATTTGCTGCCCGTATCACCGTTGTTTCAATTTCCACTGATTCAGGAAATGTTGGTGACACCTATCGTTCCGCAGCAAATTCAGAAAGGAATACGTCATCTTCGGCTCTTGATCCGAGCAACACGCAACTGTATAATAACTATCTTATCATTTCCCAATAGTGATATTTTGAAATATAGATAATAAATTCGTGCATATACTTATTAGAGCTTCATACATAAAAACAAAATTAGGCATATCAACCCAAGCTTTTGGGAGACTAAAATGGTCCACTTCGAACAAACAATATGTTCCTGATGATCGCATAAAATTGAATTAGTCAGACTATATATTAATATGACATCACTATGAAATTTTACAGATTAATACCACGAAAATCAAGAGAGTTCGGTTTATAAGCGGTGGCACCATATACTCGAAGACCTGTATATATTTGTCTTCGTTCTGAAGCTTCTGATACAATTATATTATTAAACAGTTGTATCATACTTTTAATGTTCTCTTTATCGTCGTCATCATTTTTCTTATTTTTCGCCCCCGGTTTTGCTCCCTCCATGCAAATAATTTGATAGTTTGAAACATCATTAAGATATCCAGCACTGTCCACCATGACTCTTGCTTTTCCTTGCAGAGGAATTTCGCCACTAATGAAGGAAAATGTGATTAATTCTAAGAAAAATCAAAAGAGGGATTAAGACAGTTTCAGCTTACAATATATAAATGTCTGCATACTAATACCGCTTTTCCGCCATCGGATAAATTACTAGTTTGATGTTGATGCCCACTTCGCTTCAGGAATTTTTTTCTTTGGTTTGCATCGAATTCTTAGCTCGCAGGAAAATTATTACGGATATAATATAAAGACTGCGATATGAGAAGTCTTCATGAAAAATGCCGCCGCGGTTGTACACGTCTTCGAGCGATGTCACTA